CCCCCCCCCCCCCCCCCCAGCCGCCCATGCATCCCTCTCCCCCTGCCAGCCCCATCCCTGAACTCAGCCGACCAGCAGCGACCTAGTACAGCGAACACATCCAGACCATGCTTTGCCCGTTCTCCGCGCTCCCGGGCTCCTGCAGGGCGTGTATGACCTGGCGTCCGACCTGGGCATCGTGCAGCACGGCCAGCTGCAGGAGGCGGCGCACGGTGAGCCGCCTGCCGCCCTGCCTGGCACGAGCCACCTGCTCAGCGCCGTCCCTGTGCAGCCAGGATCACACTTGCTGCTGACCACACCTGCCCCGCCGCTGGCTTGCGTGCAACGCAGATGGCTGGCCCGGCCCCACTGGGCTGTCGCCGCCGCCGCCGCCGCCGCCATTGGGCTTGACGCCGACGCCGCCGGGGCTGTCGCCACCCGAGCCGTCCTCCCTGGCGGCGGCCGGCAAGGCCGCGCCGCTGCCGCCCTCGCTGCTGCCGCTGCTGCGCTACCGGCCCGATTCAGCGGAGCTGGATGCAGGTGGGCAGCCGCTGCCGGATCCGCATGCCGTCCTTGTCGCTCACGTGTGTGTGCGGCCGCACCGCGACAGCGGTGTTGTGGTGCCGCCGTGCTGCATGCCCTGCGCGACATGATGTGCAAGCAGCCTCTGCAGCGCCTCGCTCGCTCGCCAAGGTGGTGCCGGGCCGCCCGCCTGCCCCCTGCAGCTGACGGCGCGGTGGCAGACTGCCTCGCGGCAGCCGAGGCGGCGGCCCTGTCTCTGCGCATGGCAGGGATGCAGCTGGAGCAGTGGGGGTTGCAGGAGGCGGCCTCGCCTGCAGAGACAGCGACCCACGGGCCAGCAGACGGCACCCCACCCTCCCCATCCAAGGCAGCAGCAGCCGCGCTAGACCAGTTGCAGGCAGAGCCTCAGGCCGAAGCAGGCGGCGGCGGTGATGGCGACCCCGCAGCCGCCGCCGCCGCCGCCGCCTCCAAGCGCAAGCGCAGCAGCGGTGGCCGGCGGGGCGCGGGCAGCGGTGCAGGCGGCAGCGGCGGCGCAGCTGAGGGCTCGGCGGCGGCCGCGGCTGCCGCCGCCGCCGACGGCGCCGGGGGCCGGCAGGGGCCAGGCAAGGGGCTGCGCCACTTCAGCTTGAAGGTGTGCGAGAAGGTGGAGAGCAAGGGGGACACGACGTATGAGGAGGTGGCAAATGAGCTGATTGCTGACCTGGCGGCCGAGGTGGCGGCAGGTGAGCACGCTGGCCGCCCGGTGCCCTCGCCGTCGCCGCTCCTCCTTTTTGGTGGCAAGCAGCCGGGCCCCTTGCAAGCTGCAGCTGGGCGAGTCTGCGGGCCATGCCGCGCTGCACCGCGCCTGTCGTGCGCTGGCCGGCTGGCGGGAGCCTCGCTGCGGGCGCCGCGCGCGCGCTCTGACGCCGCGCTGCCGCGCCCGCGCCCGGCCCCTCCCGCCCTCACGGCAGGCACGGTGGAGCAGCTGCACGACGAGAAGAACATCAGGCGGCGGGTGTATGACGCACTGAATGTGCTGGAGGCGATCGGCATGATCAACAAGAACAAGAAGGCCATCCAGTGGAAGGGGTGGCCCTCGGTGCGCCCCCTGCGCCTGCCGCCGCCGCATGCACGCCGCGCGCAGCCTGTTTGGCAGAGCGTGCGCCCTTCACGCCTCATGTGCTGGTGCTGGCCCGCCTGCCGATGTGCAAATAAGCTTGGGAGGAGAGGCGGGCGTACTGCCCATGGGGTGGCGTACTGCCCGCCTCATCCTCCGTGAATAGATTGCGATTCCCGTACCGCTGCCATCGCCCGGGGCCGCCTCCCAACCGTCGCCCCGTGCCGCCCTTGGTCCTGCCTGCGTGCCGACACTGCAGGGCCTGGGCCGCTCCTCAGAGGATCGGCTGCGCGAGGAGCGGGCCAAGGCTGCGGAGCAGGTGGAGGAGAGGCGGCAGGCGCTGCAGGTGGGGCCCCGCCGGCAGGCGCCGCCGCCGCGCCGCTCAGCGCTGCGCTGCCGCTGCGTGTTGTTTGCGTGTGTTGCTTGTGCGTTTGTGTGTGAACAGCTGCGGCCTGCAGCACAGCAGCAGGCGCATGGCACGGCTGTTGCGGCGGAGCACCCCATGTATGCCTTGCCTGCGCACTGTTGTGCCGCTGATGTACCGCCGCTGCGCCGTCGCTGTACCGCTGCGATGCAGGACGCCATACACAAGGCCTACTGCCTCTCCAACCTGGTGCTGCGCAACCGCGAGGCGCCGCTGCCGCTGCTTCTGGAGATGCGGGTGCGGCCGCCGCTGCTGGGCCTGCCGTGTCTGTCTCTGTGAAGCGTGCCTGCTGTGCCCTCCTGCTTGGCCGCACTCGCGTTGCTGCTCGGCCGCCGCTGCGTGGCTCCACTCGCGCTCGCAGCATTGCCTCGATTTTACAGTGTTGGGCCCCGCCGATTGATTTCAGTGCTGGCAGCGGCAGGGCGCCGCTGGCGAGCCCATTCCAGGGCGCTCCGAGCCGTGCGCCGCTGAGCTTGCCATGCAACCGTGCCTTTGCTTGGCCCTTGCAGGAATTGGGCATGGAAGTCCCCAACCCGCTGACCCTGCCCTTCATGCTCGTGCAAGTGCGTCGCCCAGCTGGCTGGCGGGGCCGCTGTGCATGGCTCTGGCTGTGATGCCCTGCGATGTGGCTGCCGGGCCTGGCATCCTTCGCGGCGTGGCTTGCGGGCCGCTGTGCCCCGTGCGCGCCAAGTGTTCGACGGGCGTGCTGTGCCCGCTGTGCACGCTGTGCGTGCTGTGCAGGCTGACCAGGATGCTGACGTGGAGGTCCAGATCAGCGACGACAACCTCAACGCCCACATCGACTTCCAGCAGTGAGCAAGGCAGCATTTGTACTTTGTTCTGGGGCCTGGCCTGCTGCCCTGCCTTCGCTGACCTTGCCGCTAGCCTGCCCCGGCTCCTGATACCCCTGCTGCTGCCTCACCGGCCCTTTGTGCGCTGCCGCGGCCCTGCTGTTGTTGCAGCTGGCCGTTTGTGCTGTACGACGACGATCACGTGATGAGGATGCTCAACCTGCACCACCCTCAACCGCAGCTGTACACAGACCTGCCGAGCAGCAGGCCGCAGCAGCAGGCTCAACAGCAGGAGCAGCAGCAGCAGGCGACACAGCAGCAGGGGCAATCGAGGCCCAAGCAGCAGCAGCAGCAGACACAGCACGAGCAGCAGCAACAGCCCCACCAGCAGCAGCAGCAGCAGCAGAAGCAACAGCAGCAGGCGACACAGCAGCAGGCACAGCAGCAGATCAAACAGGAGCCGCGCTTGCTGGCGGCGCCCCCCAGCCTGCGCTGGCAGCAGCCACACCACTTGGATCGGCTGCCGCCGCCCCCCCCGCTGCCCTTCCTGCAGCCGCAGGTTGATCTTCGGCCGCTGCAGCGGCAGCCAACGGGCCTGCACCTGGCGCCCCAGCCCCAGCCCCAACAGCAGCAGCAGCAGCAGCAGCAGCAGCAGCAGCACTCTGGGCGTCTGGAGCAGGCTCCCTCCATGCCAGGCGCCGCTGTGCCAGGGGTGCGCCTCACCCCGCGCAAGCCGCCAGGCGGGCTGCCCACCCCTGCGCTGCAGCTGTCTCCTGACATCGGCTCCCCTGGCGGCCTGGGCGACAGCGTGTCTGCTATGGACCTTGGCAGCCCACCCGCCACCACGGCCCGCATGGCAGGCAATGCATTCCAGCGGCAGCAGTGCCAGCAGTACCAGCAGCAGCAGTACCAGCAGCAGTTCCAGAGGCCGCAGCCGCAGCAGCCGCTGCTGCGCCCCGCCCTCGTGCCCGCCGCCGGAGCCGGGCCGAAAGGCGAGCCGCCTGCGCCTCTGACGGCTCTGCGGCCCTCGGAGGCGCCGGCGCCCGCGGGCGGCGCCTCCCAAGGCGGCTGGCCGCTGTGGAGCGCCCCAGACGCCGCGCCCGGCGGCCCTGGCTTCCTGCCGCCCGGCAGCCAGCCCCTGCTGCAGCAGCAGCAGCAGCAGCAGCGCCTGCAGGGGCCGGCGGGAGTGCCGCAGCTGCGGCCCGTGCCCGCCGACACCTGGCACCTTGCGACCCGGCGGCACCAGGGGCCGCCCGCCAGCCTGGCGCCAACGCTGCGCCCCGCTCGCCCTCCAAACTAGCGCTACCCTGCTGCGCCCCGTGGTGTGAGCGTGAGGGGCTGGCAGCCGCGGCAGCCAGCCAGCACGGAACGTGCGTCACGTGATACCTGCCGTGCCTTTTTCCTTTGTAGCCACGGTCCCAAACCACTACCTGCCGTCCGCCACAAGGCGCCAATTCTACCGGGTGGCATGTGCACCCACCCCATTTCCTCTCTCTCTCTGTGCATCGCACGTTTTTCTCTTGTCTCCTTGCCTGCCTGCCTCCCGCTCCGCCCTCACCGCTGGCGACTGCACCCAGCCCTTGACCCTGCTCGCGGCAGAGCCACCTCCCTATGTGCCTTGCTTCTCGTCCAGCCGATCCCCAGCACTGCTTTTCAGGACACCGCACCCGATCTTGTGGGAACAGATGCACCCGGCAAGTATGAAACTTTACCCAGCACAGAACCACAGCTGCCTATGTTTAACCCGCTCCTGCCCTAGCTTTGCACGCCGGCCATGGCCGCCCTTCCCTGCCTTGTGTGTTTGCCCTTGGCTCGCATCTGTACTGCCGCTTTACAGCTCCCAGGCGTCCAGCCCTGTAAACTCCCGACAACAACGGTCACGCAAGCAGGCTGGCTGCGCCCCCCGCTGGCACAGAAACCGGGGCCAGCCCGAGGCCAGGCTCAAGAGGGAGGGAGCGCTCGTGCCGCGGCGCAGCCCGACTCAGCAGCTGGCGCCTCTCCGCGCAGCCCCAGATGCGCATGTGGTGCCGCCGGCCGCCGCCGCCACGCCGCGTATCTCGATCAGCGCCTGCAGCGCCTCGGCCAGCCGCGGCGGCCAGCGCCGCTCGCCGCGCAGCCAGGCGGGGTCTCGGTACCGCGGGTCGCCCACGCGCTGCCACTCCGCCTCCGCCTCCGCCTCCAGGCCAGCCTCCCACAGCGCCGCTGCCAGCCCCGCCCGCATGTCTGGGAAATCGGGATACTTGCGCAGCAGGCTCCTGCGGGAGGGGGAGGGGGGGGCGCGGGAGCAACAGCGTCGAACAGCATCGCACAGCATTGGCTGGCCAGATGCGCACTGCTTTCCAAAGCAGCCGGCTGGCGTGTCGAGCCCCTGATGCCACCAGCCCGCATCCCACGGGTGTGTGCGTGGGCGCGGGAGCAAGCTGATGCACCAGTGCAGGCACGGCAGGAGAGGGCCGCGCGCGCTGCGCCATGCACCGCTTCCACCCCTGCCTTCCACCCCTGCCTCACACCTCACACCTCCCTGCTCGCCCCCCGACCCCGCCGCACCTCATCTCCTTGATGGCCCGGTTGTCCTGCCCCAGCTGGTACAGCGCCAGCGCGCGGTTGGCCAGCGCAAAGGAGAAGGCCGGAGCCAGCTGCGCCGCGCGCCCGTAGTACTCTGCAGCTTCGCCCCAGTCGCCGGTGCCCGTGCACGCATTGCCCAGGTTGTTCCAGGCGGCAGGGTCGTCCGGCGCCACCGCCAGTACCGCCTGATAGTCCCGCTTGGCCTCCTCAAACCGGCCCAGCGCCTCGAGCACCACCCCCCTGCACGGCAGCAGCGGTAGGCATTCAAGGAGGAGCGAGGGCCGTCAGACACAAGTCCCTGTGCGCCTGCTGGGCACGGCAGCGGCCTGGTGTGGAGCTGTAGCGCTGCTCGCACCCCTGCGGAGAATCGGGGAATGGCTGCTGCCGGCGAGGGCACGCCGCGCGGCTGCCGCCTCTGGCGTGGGTGCGGCCTGCAGGGGCCCGCCCACCTGTTGAGCACGGGGTCGGCGCTCCAAGGGCAGATGGCGATGCTGCGGTTGTAGTCGGCCAGAGCCTCCCGCAGCCTGCCCTGCCGGCTGCGGGCGTTGCCCCTGTTGCCCCAGGCCTGGGGAGGGCAGGCGGGGGCAGGGCAGCAACTGCAGGGTTGGCACTGCGCAGTGTTGACAGGCTGCTCGGGGAGCACTTGCCAGAGGCTGTTGGCTCCCGGAGCAAGCTGGCGAGTAGCCTTCTGCTCCTGAACCACCCCCACCGCAGACCTCTCAGCGCCTCTCACCCGTCCCACCAGGTCTGGCACCCAGTTGGCATCCAGGCCGCCGTACTCTTCGATGATGCGGGTCCACCGCGCCTCCTCCTCCCACACATCCCCGGCATTCAGCGCCTGCTGCAGCAGCCGCGCCGCCGCGCGCAGCTGCAGGGTGGGCGAGGGGGCGGGTGGGTGGGTATGGGCCGGTGTTGTGTGGGGTCCGATGGGTTTAACGGGGAGGATCTGGCAGGGGAGGAATGGGGATACATCGAGTGGCCGTGAGCAAAACATATGCACCTGTGGATCGGCAGCATCGTACAGCGCTTGGTCTGGCGCCAGCTCTGGCCGTATCGCTGCTGGCAGCACGTCTACTGCTGCCGCTGCCGCATGGCTAGGCGGTGAGGGTTGGAGGGCCAGCAGCAGCGCAGAGGCGCCCAGGCCAAGCGCGGCACGGCGGGGCAGCAGCGGCGCCGCCACCCGCACGCCGCCGTCCGCCGGCGGCTGGCATTCCACAGCCGCTTGCTGGGCCGCCTGGACGGCTAGATCTGCAAGGGATGCTCCCGGGCGTAAAATGGATGGTGGCCGCCGCGCGCCGCTGGCGAAACAGGCTGTCGAGAGGCGGTGCTGGCCAGGAGCGGTTGACGGGGCGCAGCGTGCTGTCGCCATTGCGTCTTAAGAGGTGAGAGAGCGCCAATGCATTGTTATGCAGCGCCATACTGAGGTGGGGCTGATGAGCTGGCACCCCGCCCGCCATGCTGGCGGCGCAGATTTCACTGCTCCCTGCTGCCTGCCATATACACTCATTTGAGCTGCTTCCATCGCTCATTACAACATGGGATGTCTTTAATGCAAAATGAAGCTTCATAAGATGCAAAAAACTTGCCAGCCAGGCAGCCACAAGGCTCTAGTGGCCATGACAGCGGTGGCGCAAAACTGCGCAAAACATCAAGAGGCGGTGGTACAAGAATGCTTGATTTGCAGCATCAGATCGTGGACCAATTGGCACAGGGGGATCAAGAAGGATATATGGGAGCATGAAGAGCATGAGAGCTGAGCCATTTGTTTATCAACCAAGTCGTATCACGGTCATACATGCGCTGCGGGTGTCACTAGTGGGGTAGAGGGGCCGCGCCTGCCAGACCTCTGGCCTGGCAGGCACATGCGGCCGCGCCCGCCGCCCGCCGCCTCACTCCACGCTGATGCTGACGCTGGGCGGCTGCTGCCTGGCGGCCTTGGGGATGGTCAGGGTCAGCACGCCGTCTGCCATCTTGGCGGCAATGCCGTCGGCGTCGACGCCCTTGGGCAGGCGGATGGAGCGGCTGAAGCTGCAAGGCGGCGGGAGGACAGGAGCAGCGGAAGGGTGGGCACGCCGAGGCATGCGGCAGGGGGCGTGCCCTTAGCTTGATGAGGAAACCAGCACAGACCCAGGCCAGCCGACCAGCTCTGCGCCCCGCCCGCTGCCAGCCACGCTGAGCCGCTCACCTGCCATAGGGGCGCTCCAGGCGGACCACGGTCTGCTGCGGCTCCGCCGCCTTCTCCTCCTTCTCCTCCTCGGCAGCAGCCTCGGCCTCGACGACAGGCTCCGGCTGGGCCTCTGCGGCGGCGCCCTCGGCCTCCTCCGCGGCGGCGCCGGCGCCGGCAGGGGCGTCGCCATCGCTGCGGCCGGCGGGAGGGGTGCTCTGCGGCGCGGGGCGGCTGACTGAGATGGTGAGGATTCCCTCCTGGGACACCTTGATCTGCAGGGGAGGGGAGCGATGATGCCGGCAAACCCATTCAGCAGCGTGCCCGTGCCCAGCCGGCGACGAATGGGAAAATTGCCCCAGCAGGCGGGCAGCATATCCCCCCCCCCCCCCCCAAAGGGGGGTAGGGGGGGGACGGGATAACGGGGGCGGGGGGGGCCCCCAGCGCTG